CGTGACTTCTCAGTCTGGGCCCTGGTGCTGCCATTTCCTAGCTCTGTGCCCGTCCTCACATGAGGGCCCTCCCCACCCTGCACACTCTCTCCGCGTGTGAACTAGCATGGCAGCAACACCGCCTACCTACAGGGCGGCGGGGGTCATGGCATGCCGGGTGCTTAGCACAGTCCATGCTCAGCACGCGTGTCGCTGCTCAGGGTGTTAGCTGTTAGCGACATGGAGCTCGCCTGCTGGGGAGAGAGCTGGTCTCACGTACACTAGGTATATAGTTCAGGAAAGCCCTCAGCCCTGGTGAGGACGAGAATGGGAGTCCATCTAGAATCAGTTGCATAATGCTTTCTTTGAAGTGGTCCTCATGGCTGACAGGGAGGGGGTCTCGGACCAGGTGGCCTCGGAGCTGGGGCTTGAAGGTGAAATCACGGGGGAGCGAGGGCATGAGCAGCTGGCATGAGCCCAGCGGGGCGGTTGAAGCGGCTGGCAGGTCAGGGGTCCAGCGCGTGGTGTGGAAAGAACCCAGAGATGCCGCCAGAGGCCAGGTCAGCGCCAGGTTCCACCACCAGGGCGGCGCCAGAGAGCGGGGTGGTCGGATCTATAGTTCACAAACACAACTCGGCTGTGTCCTGGAGGATGACCTACACCAGAGAGCCCGTAAGCAGGGGCCTGTATGAAACGATCCTGGTGACCTGAACTGGGGCAGTGGCAGCGAGAATGGAGCTGCAAGGACAGAGGCGAGAGGGACTTGCAAGGACCAGAAGGCACAGTGACCAGTGACCAGGCATAGTGACCGCGGACACGGGGGGCAGAGGAACCCATCGAGGATGACTTCGCATTCTAGCGTGAAGTAAGAAGCACAGGAAGAGAAACGCGTTTGGGGGAAAGATAACGGGGTTGGTGCTATAAATATTACGCCTGCAGGAAGAATATCCAAGTGGGCAGTTTAGAAAAGAATTCTGGGTAGACCCGTCCAGGGTGGTGGGGAGAAGGGACACTAGAGAAAAAGGAGGAAGCGACACTTTGGAAAACAAGCCTTGCACAGGTGCACGGCCCAGCGGGTTCTATGAAACAGAACCAGACGGGACAGGTCCCCTCCAGAACCACCTCCACACCAGTAAACTCCTTCACTCGCTGCACTTAATACGCCTGTGCGTTCGTCCGCACCTTTCCTCCCCTCCACTCAACACGCGCTGATTAAGTGAGCATCTACCATGTGCCGGTGCTGTTCTTAGATTTTGGTCACACGGAAGTGCAAAGTCCAAACCCTGCCGTCGGGGAGTTTATGTTTTAGCGCAGGAGACAGTCGATAAGCAAGTGACTGAATAATCTAAAATAGAATTTTAAGTAAACAGCATCAGGAAAAATAAAGCCAGTAGGAGGTGAGAAAGTAACCAAGGAGGGAGAGGAGGGGGAACTCTTAGAGATCAGGTGGTCAGGGAAGTCATCGCTGATGAAGTGGCGTTTCAAACGGAGACCTGAGGTGGTGGAGAAAACGACGTGAAAATCTGGAGGAAGTGTGTTTAAGAAAGAGGGAAGAGCAAGGACGGCGACCCTGAGGTAGGAGCCAGTTCAGTAGGATGGAGAAACAGCAAGGTACCCAGCGTGGCTAGAACAGACCAAATAGTCACAGAGTATCTTATGACATTTCTGGTGCTTCTGTCTTGTGTTATTAACTGTAGGGTGTCCCAAAACTCACGCAAGATTTGCAATTTAATTGAATTGCAATTATTGGGACACCCTAATAATTCTGTTGCAAAGATTTTCATGGATTTATATCCTATCTTCCCAACTCCATGTAAGCCTATTAAGGGCCAGGTCCACGTTCAAATTTCATACTCCCACGGTGCCTAGCACAATGACTTGCACATAGTAGGTGTTCTTTCTCCATTCCTTTGTCTGTAATTATAGTTAGTGGTGATCTCTAGGCCTTTTTGTCCCCCTCTCCAACGCTTCCGGGCTAATCCCAGGGGCTGTTAACCATCCAGCAAACCACTGGTGAGCAATGTCTAATACCGTTTAACCAGTAAGAAACTCAAGCCAGCCCCAACCGGTTTGGCTCAGTGGATAGAGCGTCGGCCTGCAGACTGAAGGGTCCCAGGTTCGATTCCGGTCAAGGGCATGTGCCTTGGTTGCGGGCACATCCCCAGTGGGGAGTGTGCAGGAGGCAGCTGATCGATGTTTCTCTCTCATCGATGTTTCTAACTCTCTATGCCTCTCCCTTCCTCTCTGTAAAAAATCAATCAATAAAAAAAGAAAAGAAACTCAAGCCATGTCCAGAGCCACGTAGGAAGCCCAGACGCCAAGATGTACCCTTACCGTTTGCAAACCTGGTGGTTTCACGGGGGCGCTCGTGTTGAAGACTGGAGTGTGAGGAGTTCCTGCACATGCTCAGAGAAGCTGCTGGCTTTGCCTCAGCTCTGTGCTTACACATTACAATAATATTATTATTACCCCACCGGGGTGTCATGGGGATTAATGAGACATTTTCCAATCACTTTGAGCTACTCCGCTGGGGGCACTAAATAAGTGGCACGTGTTTCCCCTGAAGTGCCATGTCTGCCATTGATGTGTTGTGATGGGTTTTGCTGTCCAACAGGGCTGGGGTTCGCCCACCAACTCGTTTCCTATAAACAACAGACTAGCCGTCCGAAGGCGGTGGCTTTCCGTTAAAATAAATACGAAGCGAAGCAAACCAGTCAGCAATCAGAAGCAAACAGGCTGCCGTTAGAAATCTCGTGTTTATGAAGCACTCGCAGGGGCGACATAGAAGCCTCCCAGTGCGACACAGTACAGCGGACACTGGGCTCGGCAATGGGCCAGGATTCCAGGCCCCCGCCCTGCCAGGAACTCCCTGTGTGAGCTCGAGGAAATTGCTAAACCTCTCTGGTATAAAGGAAATTGCTAAACTTCTCGGGTATAAAGTAAGGGCTGTTCTATGAAGCTCAGAATCGGTCTTCCCGATCAGGCAACTACAGCGGAGGAGTGGAACCAGTCATTTCTGAAGGAGAGCTACTGCCCAGCAGGGAGAAGCGTGTGACCATCCATCACAGGACCGGCTCTGTTCTGGTCTTCCTTGCGGTTGATTAATATTAATTTCGGTACTAATTCCTGCAAATGGGGAAATAAATCACTTTCTAAGTCGGGCAGAGAGGTACATGAAACATTGGGTCTTTAAAAATAGGGTCTTTGCCTTTCTAAGAGCCATCCTTGCCGTGAGCTCTCTGTCTGATTCTTAGATTTAAATATATGAATGATGGATTATCCTGCTCCCCGATTCCCAGCTCTAAAACAGGGTGTTGTTTAGGGAGAGGGTTTTACATGGTGGTCCACTTTGACCATCTGACAATATATGCTCCAGCCTGCAGGGCCTGGCTCTGACCTGGGGATGAAGGACAGAGAAGAACATGGGTGCTTGCTGCACCCAGAAGAGGCAGAGGAAACCCCATAGAATAACCCGGTAATGCACCTGACAGTGAGCCCAGGGTCCCCTCCCTCCTACTCCTAGGAATCCAGGGGTCCTGGGCTCAGAGAGAAGAAATGCTGGCCCTCCAGAATGGATAGAAATGCAAAGGCTCACTTGTTGAGGAACTCAATTCAACAGACGTCTAGGAGTTCCTACTATGCGGTCTAGGAGTTCCTACTATGCGTCTATGCGTCTGCCAGGCACTTTGGTGGCTGCTGGGAATGCAAATTGGGTAAGACCTAGTCTCCTCCCTCCATGACCACATATCACCTTTACTCCAAACTTCCCAGCGAAGGGGTGATGGGTGCGGGAGTTGTCTAGACAACAGCTCCTCTTTTGTAAATTATTGGAATGATATAGCAGAAAACAAGTTTTTAAGCCTAGGGGTGACTCTGAATTGGATTTGCTTAAATGCCTGGAAACAGAAATTGTGTTCAAAGTGACCACAGCAATTTAGAAAACTAGATTCAGTTCAAAGGAGATAAATGGAAGTGACTATCTCCAGGCCAAAATCAAGCAACAGAGATACAAGGTTTGGACTGAATGTTCTCCCAGTGTAACAGCTAAAGCGTGGCGAACCCCCTCCCCCAAGGCCAGCAGGGAAGCGTTATGTAGAGGTTTATGTACAGGTCTACGTCCCTCCCAACACAGATGCAAGATGACATGTGAATTTCCTTGGTCACTTCCCTCTTATTTCCCCACTGACAGGAAAGCTCACAGTCCTGTAAAGGCCCGGCTGCCCTCTCCAAGCCCAACCAGAAACAGTGTCCGGATTCTTCCCAGCGACTGGAATGGATCTAAGCTATGGAAGTTAGTGTGAACTATTGTCTTCAAAGCCAAGTCCCCGAAGCCATTAATGACCCATTATCTTCAGACTCCCGGGTGCGAAACTCACCAGCACCCATGACTCCCTTCAGCTTCTCATCCAAACAGGAGCTGCGTTATTTAGAGCCCTCCGGGCCTGGAGGTCTTCCACCTCGGGGCGCCCACCCTGCCTGCCACCCGTCCCTGGACCAGGCTCCAGGGCGCATCCCCACCCTCCCCCCTGGCCTGCCTCCGCCAGCCAGCTGACCCCAGGGCACCCTGCCTCCGCCAGCCAGCTGACCTCAGGGCTCCGCACAGCCCGCCTCCCCCGGGCTGGCCGAGGTGGAGACGCGGGGAGGGGAGGCCCGCAGCTCGCAGGGCTGCGGCGTGGGTCCAGGGCGGTGGAGCAGCCCTGAAACTGGGACGCGGCCTCGCGGGCCGGGGGCGCGCACACCGACACGGAGCGGGACTGGAGAGGTGCAGGGGGCGCCCAGGCGCGAAAGGAGGGCGCCTGGCGCCTGAGGGGCCCGGAGGGCGGCGGGGCGGGGCGGGGCGGGGCCGGGCCGCGGCGCGCGAGGGGCGGGGACCCCGGGGGCCCGGGTGGGCGGGCGGCGGGCGGGCGGGCGCGCGCTGGGCGCGGGCGGGGGCGGAGGGAGGCGGGGGCGGCGGGAGGCGTCTCTCTCCGCCGAGGAGCCCGCGGGCCGCGCCGCAGCCAGACGGAGCCCGGCGGCCGCCGCGGCAGCAACAGGCGGCGGGCTGGGCTCGGGGCGCAGGCGGCGCGGGAGCGGGCGGGAGCCGGAGCGCCGCGGCCCGCGCGGCCGGGTCCCCGCCGCATGGAAGAGCATCTCAGCCTGCTGAGCTCGCCGCCGCCCGCCGCCCGCCACCGCGCCCCCCCGGCCCCGCGCCCCGCCGGCGGCGGCGCCCGCACCCTGGTGAACCCGGGCTACGCCGAGTCGGCCGCGGGCCCCGAGCTGCCGCCCGACATGACCGTGGTGCCCGGGGACCACCTGCTGGAGCCGGAGGCGGCCGGCGGCGGCGGCGGGGACCCGCCTGAGGGCAGCTGCGGCGGCGGCGGTGGCGGCTGTGACCGTGACCGCTACGAGCCGCTGCCGCCCGCGCTGCCGGCCGCCGGCGACCAGGACTGCTGCGGGGAGCGCGTGGTCATCAACATCTCGGGGCTGCGCTTCGAGACGCAGCTCAAGACCCTCTGCCAGTTCCCCGAGACGCTGCTGGGCGACCCCAAGCGGCGCATGCGGTACTTCGACCCGCTCCGCAACGAGTACTTCTTCGACCGCAACCGGCCCAGCTTCGACGCCATCCTCTACTACTACCAGTCCGGGGGGCGCATCCGCCGGCCGGTCAACGTGCCCATCGACATCTTCTCCGAGGAGATCCGCTTCTACCAGCTGGGCGAGGAGGCCATGGAGAAGTTCCGCGAGGACGAGGGCTTCCTGCGCGAGGAGGAGCGGCCGCTGCCCCGCCGCGACTTCCAGCGCCAGGTGTGGCTGCTCTTCGAGTACCCGGAGAGCTCGGGGCCGGCGCGGGGCATCGCCATCGTGTCCGTGCTCGTCATCCTCGTCTCCATCGTCATCTTCTGCCTGGAGACGCTGCCCGAGTTCCGCGACGAGAGGGGCTACTTCGCGCCGCCGCCGGCGCAGGAGCTGCCGGAGGGGGCGGGCAACGGCACGGCGTCGGGGGCCGCCGCCGCGGGGACCTCCAGCTTCTCCGACCCCTTCTTCGTGGTGGAGACGCTGTGCATCATCTGGTTCTCCTTCGAGCTGCTGGTGCGGTTCTTCGCGTGCCCCAGCAAGGCCACCTTCTCGCGCAACATCATGAACCTGATCGACATCGTGGCCATCATCCCTTACTTCATCACGCTGGGCACGGAGCTGGCCGAGCGCCAGGGCAACGGGCAGCAGGCCATGTCCCTGGCCATCCTGCGTGTCATCCGGCTGGTGCGGGTCTTCCGCATCTTCAAGCTCTCCCGCCACTCCAAGGGGCTGCAGATCCTGGGCCAGACGCTGAAGGCGTCCATGCGGGAGCTGGGGCTGCTCATCTTCTTCCTCTTCATCGGCGTCATCCTCTTCTCCAGCGCCGTCTACTTCGCCGAGGCGGACGACCCCACCTCGCGCTTCAGCAGCATCCCCGACGCCTTCTGGTGGGCCGTGGTCACCATGACGACCGTGGGCTACGGGGACATGCACCCGGTGACCATCGGGGGCAAGATCGTGGGGTCGCTCTGCGCCATCGCTGGCGTCCTGACCATCGCGCTCCCGGTCCCCGTGATTGTCTCCAACTTCAACTACTTCTACCACCGGGAGACCGAAGGCGAAGAGCAAGCCCAGTACATGCACGTGGGCAGCTGCCAGCACCTCTCCGCTTCGGCCGAGGAGCTGCGGAAAACCAGGAGCAACTCCACGCTGAGTAAGTCGGAGTACATGGTGATCGAAGAGGGGGGCATGAACCACAGCGCCTTCCCCCAGACCCCCTTCAAGACGGCCAATTCCACCGCCGCCTGCACCGCGAACAATAACCCCAACTCCTGTGTCAGCATCAAAAAGATATTTACGGATGTGTAGCCTACCATCCCAGTGACCTGCTGTGCTCAGGCTCGCGCGGACCGTGCCCCCCTGGTCTGTGTCTGCCCTTGTTTTAGACATTTCCAGACCATCCATCCAGGAAAGGACAGGAGGAAGTGGAGCGCGCACTTCACCCCCTCCCCTCACCCCCCCAGGACTGCTTCACACTGAAACAGGTGTCTGTTTTGCAAGTGGGCTGCATTCTCTCAGCTCTCGCTCGCTCTCTCTCTCTCTCTCTCTCTCTCTCTCTCTCTCTCTCTCTCTCTCTCTCTCAATATTGCAAACAGCAAACTTTGAATTTGATTTCCAGGACCCGCCCTATGGGAGAAAACAAAACAAAAAAACCCCTGTACATCCCGGGAGGAAATGAAACTGCAGAACAGTTAGAGTAACTGTTTAACCTCAGAATTAAGTCAGCTGTTTCTTTACTACGTAAAGCAGGCACACGCCGAAAGGACGCTTCCTTTCTTTGGACCTTTACTCAGCAGCACTGAATAGTTTAGCTCAACTGCCGACACTGTGGATATGTGGATGGAAAGTCCAATTAAAAAGACGGATAAACGCACCGGAAGTTTATTTGGTTTTTGACTGGAATTTCTATTCTGTTCGGAACCCCCATCCCAGAATTTTAAGGATCTCTACAACTTTGAACAAAGGGAAGTGCCCAAGATGTACTGACCTGACTCATTCATTTAACTCTTGGGGCTTGTTAGGCATTTCCAAAGTATGAGACTAACAGATTCCTGTGAAGTTCTGTGTGTGTGTGTGTGTGTGTGTGTGTGTGTGTGTGTGTGTGTTGCAGCCACTAGAAACAGATGTTTTCAGTGCTGCTGAGAGAAACAAAAAAAAAAATTTCCTAAATGCATCTGAGAGATAAGCTTCTGCGGCATCACAAGAAGATTAAAGTGGCAGACATTCCTTCCAGCGGAAGTTACTAATTCCAAACCGGCTGATGTAGTTTCCATAGCAACCCAGGTTTCCTAGGAAACCCGAAAAAGGTTGTCATGGCATCTCTTGCTCTCTGTCCCTGCCCCCCTAGCCCCTGCCGTTTCCACAGTAACCTTTCCAGATGGTTCCTACTTACATGATTTCATAAGGAAAACCACTGTTTGAATAAACCGCACAAATGAAGGGAAGTCTGAAATTCCAAGGTGGTGAAATGACTCACAAAATGCATATTTTTTTACTACAAAAAAAAAAAAGCATTGATATCACCCTATAATGACTGAATCGAGAAGGAAAATGCCATCTTTGGGATTTTAGGTATACACCACAATCAGGCGTGACTTGAATTAAATGTGAGTAATTAGGCAATAATTTCAAAAGATGCTTCTCTACTGTTTTCTTTCACCAAGAACTTTCCGGCCAACCAATGAAATAAAAAAAAGCAAATATAAAGGTGTTCTGTACATAACCAAAGGAAAGATTCCATTGGTGTATCCGAAACCTTGCTACAAGGGACCTTCAGATGTCCTCTTGTTAACAACAGAAAAACACAGATTCCACAACACACCGTCACCATCACGGCACTTGAAAAGCTAAATAAAATCGCAAATTATGAAGGACGCGTGTTTGTAACTGAGGGAATCGCAGACAATCCATAGAAAGGAGGGACGGGAAGTAACCAGATCTTGGGGAGATGCCTTCAAGTTTCAGCCATGTGCCAGGGTTGCTGGAAGACAGACAGACTCAGGTGAGCACGTGTGGGCTGCTGAGGGCGCTGCCTTCTTGTCCAGGGAAGTGGGGCAAGGCTATTCGTGTCCAGATTGGTGACACTTGCAAAGCCAGTCGTTTTAGATGAATTACCTGCCAGGTGCCTTTTGCTGATCATTTGGAACCCCTTTTCCATTTGATTTCCGGGCTGCTAACTGTCCTTTGGTTTCCATTGTTTCCTGAAAAAGAATGAAAAAAAAATCATTGCTGTCTAGCCTTCACCCACACTGAACGGAAAATGGTGCCATTCCTTTTGCTAACCCACTTGGCTTCTGAACAGCCTGTTTCCCCTTAAAAACGAATGAAAAGACAGAAGCTACAGCCGTTAGATTAGTGTTCCAGCTTTAAACTACATCATTATTTGGTAGTGCAGTGCTTTGAGACAAAAATGGCTAAAAGGGCAATAAAGGTAACATTTTACTTTAACATAAATAATTGTATACACGTTATAGACGTGCGTTTCCCACAATTATTTTTGTTTTGTTTTGATAGGTTGTAACATATCCTCTCCTAGAGTAAATGACAGTAACCCTATGTTAAGGCTTGTAAAATACTTTCAGGCAGCCAGAAGCCTACTTATGTTATTTGTGCTTTAAGACAATGAAAAATAATATTAAGACAGTAAGAGAGGGAAGAGAAAAGACATCTACATGCCCGGTCATAGCATCATTGTTCTTATCTACGTGCATCAAGAGAGGACCCTCTTGCTGCTTATTTGAGTTACTGTTAACATTGATCTACCTTTTGACCAATTGTTGGTATTGTTGATGACCAGGAATTCTGTTTATGACCTATTTTGGTGGTGATATGTTAGACACACGATAGTAAGGACATAAAAATAAATTCTGCATCTCTTTTTAAAAGATCTTAGAGATGAACAAAGTACAGTAATGGTTTTATTCATATTTTTCAGAAGATGCAGAAACCCTATGGGCTCTGTAAGTAGTCAGTGGTTGTGCCATAATTTTTGGAATTGTATGGCTATTAGATAACAGTAATACAAATGAGACCCTATTTTTAATCCAGAGAATTGGATATGGCTTTTGAGTCCTAACTTTGGGGTGGTATAATTGCTTCTAGTTGCCATATTGTTAGCTTCTTGAAGGTTATAGGTTCTGTGTCCTGCACAGAATGTAGCATCTTGTATTATTTAATACATACCTGTGTTTGATGGGTGAATCGCTCTTATGTTACATTAATGTTCTTCTCAGGCTTTTAATGAAGTGGTTTAATGCATAAACTCTGCAGTTACATTGCCAGGGCTTGAATCCTGACTCTGCTGTTCGACCTTGAGCAAATTACTGAACCTCTCTGTGCCTCAGAGTCCTTATTTGTAAAAATGAGGATAATAAATAGTACCTCATAGGGTTGTTGTGACTATTAATTGTCAATACAGGTATACTACTCAGAAAGGGTAAATTGCATAATATGCAGCAGAGGTTTTGCTAAGAGATTACATTACTACGTTATATTATTTGCTAAGAGATTGCATTATTATGGTGATCATTATTCACACGCTTTGTGTAATTAATACTGAACTTCGTGAATGATTTGAAATACATAATCAGTGTCTTCCTATTTACTGCCTACATCACAGCAATAATTACCACTTATTAAGGGTCACCATGTCCTTGACACTTCTCAACTCAGCAAGTTAGGTGGTATTAACCCCATCTTAGGAGGGTAAGAATAGATGGTTAAGGTTAAATGATTTTCCTGAGACGTCACGGCTAGCAAGAGACCCAGCTATAATTTAAAACCAGGTCATTCTGCACCCGCCCCCCTCCCCCCCTTCCGCCCAGACCCTGTATCTTTTATTGGATGACTTGAAAGAGATTGAGAAAATAAATTTCTTATGCTTTCAGATTTGATTTCAGCCCATCTAACTAATTAATGAATTCCTGTAAAGACCATATCTCCAGAAACCTAGTTCTTTCAGTATCCTGGAAACTAACCCTTTTCTAATCATCAGATATATTTAAACCATAGGGATCGAATATGTTATTTAAATCGGATGAAAGGTGGACTTTTCCGGGAGAAAGGATGGCTTTCTTATATGATGGATTTATCTGGATTTACTCTTATGCTCAGAAAGTATAACCAGTCACAGTGGTGGTACCTGCAGGGACACTGGATATTTTTCAGTTTTAAGATTTAATTTCCTATTTCCACATGTTTTCATCTACAATAAGTGACAGCATTGTGCAAATTGGTATTTTCCCGCCTCCTTACGCTTTGCTTAGGTTACTAGCGATCCATGCCAGAAAGTGGTGTAAACATTTTGACTCCCTCTTACCAAGAAGGGAGAAATTACTTAGAACAAAAGGGTTGAAAGCAGGAGATTGCCGGTTCACTGAAATTGGTGCCATTGTTGCTCTATAAGAGCATCTATCCTCAACAAAACATTAGAATATAATTTTGTCCCACAAAATAGCTGTAGCTCTTCTCTCATGTCTGAAATCCAATTTAGTGAAATGAAAATGGGCAGTGATTTGGACTTAGAGCAAAAATGCTAATGAGTCTAAGTTTGCACAGGCCAGAGAGCCTTGCAAACCACAGACTTCAGTGCTGAGCCCAAAGCGTGTCTTGGATGTGGATGGTGCACATACAAAGATCCATGGGATCAGGGGCGACCGGGTCAGTACCCACCCATCCACACGTTGGGGAAAACCTCTATATCCACAGCTGGTGAATCTAGAGATAAACATTAATGTTATTGTATTTCTTTTTTTAAATATTTTTTTTATTTATTTCAGAGAGGAAGGAAGAGGGAGAGAGAGTTAGAAACATCAATGATGAGAGAGAATCATTGATTGGCTGCCTCCTGCATGCCCCCTACTTGGGATTGAGCCTGCAACCCAGACATGTGCCCTTGACCAGAATCGAACCTGGGACCCTTCAGTCCGCAGGCCGACTCTATCCACTGAGCCAAACCAGCTAGGGCTATTTTATGTCTCTTATGGTGTTACCAAATGTAAATGCCCACCAAATATAGATAGTGACACAATCACCAACAGCTACACATAAGAGAGCCATGCTATATTGGTTATTTCTAAACTTTGCAATAAAATGTCGGAGTTGAAATTCTAAATGCGCAGTATGAAGAAATTTAAAGTTACGGTTTATTGACGTAAAACATGTTATTTACCTCTTTGGCATATAACGTACTCAAGTAATTGCTTTGCTGGTAGTCTATAAAGTCAATATACAGCATGCATACCAATAGTCTGGTCCTTGGAGAATCAGAACTGTAATTCACGGACTTCTATACATTTAAAATGTCAGTGTTTTCTGCAGCACCAGCCAAGTCCTTCCCACCTCTCAGCTGTGAGTAAAGTGATGGTCCCTCCCACTCAGATATGCTAAGCAGAACCCAGGCCCCCAGTCTGAAGACTGGCAGCACTGAGCTAGAGGTGAGGGCATTAGACTGGGAAGAGGAGCTTAGGGCTTGCCTTGAGGGCGGTTTCTTTTCTTGCTGCCTTGTATTTGGCCTAAACTAAGGAGGCTAAAACTGTTGTTTTCCTACAACTAACTTCCTGTAGTTTGTTAGGCAATTTTATGTATATTAATGTAATTGCTTGTTTTTTTTATAACCTGCAGAGAGTGGTTGATAACCTTTGAGGGAGAGATGAGAGGAGGCAGGAAGAAGGGATGGGAAGCCAAGCAGGGCCCAAACCTCACTGTTGTGATTGGGCTCCTAGCCTCCTGCCAGAAAATGGCCAGTGCTGTAGACCAAGCATGTCAAACATGCGGCCCGCGGGCCACGAGTTTGACAGGCTTGCATGCGGCATCTTTACATGCTCACAGTCACCCTGAAATAGAATTTAAATGATTCAGACAAGTTAGTCACCTTACTTTCCCCAAGTAAGAACTGTGCTTGAGTTGCTTTATACTGAGATTCTCTGAATCTTTTACCTGCAGCTATTTTTAACTGTTTATGAAAGATCTGTTTATTTTACAGGTGGCTATGCATTGAGAGTGTGTTGTTAGTAGACCTAAATTCTGCTCAAAGTAGAGCTGAATACACCTCACAGCTAATGGGTGTATTCCATTCCCCTAGACTTTCCAGATTTGTGACACAGCTCACATCTTAGCTCATTACCAACTTTAATTACTGAGTGAGTTTCAACTTTTTTGACTTGCCAAGAGTACATAATTTCCAAGAGGCCAACTAGAGAATTATACCTAAATGAGCAAGAAATCTCGCTAGTCCTTGGGGCTCATTTAAAATGTCAATTAAAATGTTGTTAGAATTTGTAGGACTTGTTGGTTTGCAGCCAACACTAAGTTATTTAATAGATGTCAAAGTATAGACACAAGAAAGCAAAGTTCCCGTAAAGCTCCACGTTAGAGGAGGATTTGGCCCTTTCTTCCTCATCCATACAAGTTAGAAAGGCTGCCAATGAAGTAAGCTGGGTTTCTGTACCTCTTTCACGCAGGCCCTGCTGGAGGTCTACTTACTCCTTCAGAAACTTGGCAATTGTAGAAATTTGACTATTCTTACCTTCTTTTCTTGCTTTATATTTTAGAACATTTGTTTGGCCACACATCTTCCACTATAGATGACTATTTTCTATTACACTTCCTTTCTCTCTTTTTGTAGCGTTGCTTTTCATAGTTAAGGCCATGTGCCCTCTTCTCAGCCCTCCAATCCATTCCTGAGCCACTAATAAAAACATTATGATGACTGTCCAAATATCACTTGTATTTTTTGCTTCTATTGAATTGCAACTCTCTCCACACCTCCAGTCTATTAGGACGCCAAACTATACCATACCTTTTTAAGAATCCCCAAAGCATTGAGACAGGTACTGACGTCTGAAGATAAAAAAGAAAAGAAGGCCCAAGCCCTTGTATAGAAAGGATGTAACGGTGGCAAGACAAGAAGAGCTTAACAGAACCAGCTCCAGATAACCCAAACTCCAGTAGCATTGAGCCGAAGCTAGGCACTTAGGAAATAAAATCATTCATGGTCCTTGTAATTTCTTGTAATTAGTAGTCATTAATAGCTGTTAGACTACTATAATTTTCAAACTCTGCTAATGAAAATGAAATACTGTGGTGCACGAATGGACTTACTTTTTCAACACAGATTAGTGGTAAGAAGTTACATCTTCCAGGAAGGAAGATGAGGTGTAACCCAGGTCAATGAGGACAACCTCACTGGCTGCTTGCCCAGCACACAGGAGACATGCAACATGTAGTCCAGCGAGTGAGTGACTCTTCTGTAAAGAGCGCGAATTCCAGATCACCATCGTTAGGCATTTCCACTGCGGCTGAGACACTTGCTGAAAGCAGTCTTCTCTGAGTGCTATGATGGGTAATAGTCACATATTGAAGCCTGGAGCTGGGTTTAGCATTTTCTGTTTTTGACTTTATAAATATTCTTTATATATCATTAGAGGCCTGGTGCACAAATTCGTGCACAGGTGGGGTCCAGCCACCTCCCCCACCCCCAGACTGGGGGATAGGGGGGACCAATCAGCGGTGGGACTGGTGGGGGGAAGGGGCTGCAGGCTGTTGGTGGGCCGGCCCCATCTGCTGGTTGAACTCCTGGTTGAGGGGACAATTTGCATATTAGCCTTTTATTATTAGTTAGTAAATCTCTAGAGCAGTGGTTCTCAACCTTCCTAATGCCGCGACCCTTTAATACAGTTCCTCATGTTGTGGTGACCCCCAACCATAAAATTATTTTCGTTGCTACTTCATAACTGTAATTTTGCTACTGTTATGAATCGTCATGTAAATATCTGATATGCAGGATGTATTTTCATTGTTACAAATTGAACATAATGAAAGCATAGTGATTAATCACAAAAACAATATGTAATTATGTACGTGTTATCCAATGGTCTTAGGTGACCCCTGTGAAAGGGTCGTTCGACCCCCAAAGGGATCGCGACCCACAGGTTGAGAACCGCTGCTCTAGAGTGTGCCTAAATTGAATTGTTACATATCCATTGATTCATTCAACCTGTGTTTACTGAGTACTTTCTATGTGTCCCTGTGCGAAGTGGTAGGGATTGACTCATTCATTCAACGTATGAAGCGTCTCCTCCGGGCCAGACAACATCCTAGACTCTGGACGTAGCAGTAAACAGACAGTCACGCTGCCTTATGCTACTTTCAAGAACTACTTTATTGTCAGCATTTCTAAATTATTATTATTATCATTTTTTTGTAGTTGGAAGAGGAGAGCACCAAACCTTGAACTTTTATGTCTATGTTCTCTACTGGCCTTGGCTGAGTGTTATTGTTGTCTCGATTTGTAATTTCTTAGAGTACCCAACTGCTGAGTTCATATTTCAAAGGATGAGCAGATTTTAAAGTTCTTTGTAATGACAAGATAGCTATAGAAATGACATCTCTAGCACCTAGAATATGGTTTTCACAGTACTCTTTAAAGACTGTTCCTCCTCTCTCTCTTTTTCTCTCTCTCTCTCCCCCCCCCCTCTCTCTCTCCTTTTCCCCCCTCTCCATAACATTGAGAAAATGCATACATGCATTTTTCTTTTAAAAAGAGTAGCCACTCAAACCTTTCAGATGATTCTAAAGATGCGGATAAATTTTCCTGTTCAAAAAGCAAACAATCACATTGCTTTGGATTGCATGTGGAGGTCATTATTAAATACGGGGTCATTATTAAATAAGCTCATAATTTCAGGATGCTCTGAAACTTTTCCTAACATAAATTAAAAGCATTCAATTTGTAGTTAATACATTTAGAGAATGCAATTGCTTCAACTTTTCAGGGTAACAGTAAGAAAATACACCACAGTTTTTAAAAGTATAATGGATAGAATGTTTTATATTGACGTGAGGTCTGTAATTTTTAAATAACTAAATATATAGTAAATTAATTGTCTTTCCTCTGCCAACAGATACCTGAAGAGCCCACATAAAGAGCCGTCAAGCCATACTGACCAGTAGGCTGCTCATGTCTTTCCCTGTCTAGCTCAAGAATGCAGTGTTGGGTCTGTCCCTGATGGGCGATGAGCTGCCTGCCAGCCGTTGACGTCTGCTTTAGTTGACGTTAAGTAACATGTCTCCAACAAATGCATTCTGTAAGGGAAATAGCTCTGAGAATCTTCTTCAAAGTGTATGCAATACAAAAGATATTCATCAAGAAAGAACGAAGAATGTCAACAATATTAGGGTATCATTTCAACCTTTTGACATTTTGATGAAATCCAGTGATCCCAAAACTAAGCAGTATTGCTGATAAAGAGAACCTAAATGTTTGTTTCCAACAAGCCAACTGTGACTGTGTTTCTGCTTTCAGCTAATCACCGGGCTGTGTTTAATCACGAGATACATTAACGTGATCTTCTGTGTTCTGGCTTTTGTGCAACTTTATTGATGACTGTGTTTTGTACCAAAGGCTCTCGTGCATAGATTAGCCCATCTCCACGTGAGTAAGTGAAATGTACACTGTGCCCCGATGAATGACGTTAAAGACAGACTTGCCTAAAAGAAATGTGCCTTGCTTGACTCAACATTCTCTTATTTTTTAATTGAAAATGATAGATTTGCAAATTAATCTTGTAGGCAGGTGTTAGCTGAGCTTAACTTTAAAAGTATATTATTAGCACTATGTTTAAGTTGTCTGTCTTAACTAAAATTCAACATTGGGTTATGCTTTTCCACAACTTATATAGAATATACTCATTCAATTTCGTTTTTATGCAGTGTTCGGCGTGGCGAGACAAAGCACATTCCTAAGGATATATACAGAGTTTCATCTAATGTTTATAGTGTCCTTTAAAATTATATATGTAAAAGCTTTCTTGATTCATTTTCTATTTTTATATTCTTTTAGAAGTGAAACTTTTATCAATAAAAAAACAGCCAAGTTTTAGTTGGAGAAGAGATTTAGGAGGTCATGAAGATGATTTCCCACTGGGGGACATTTCCCTTCTGTGCCATTATTAATGTAGCGACTGTGACATTTCAGCAGAATGGTAGCTATTTGTATATTATTTAATAAGCCTTATGGAAAGTCAAACTGTGAACACTTAACATAAAAAAGACTTTTTCTCATTTCCATATTTTATTTTCCAAATATACCTGAATGGATGCATGAATAACCAGTCTCCTGTTATTCAAATGCATTACAATGCTAAGTTATAATAAGAGCACTTGTAGAGTTTTAATTCCCATCAAAATATTTTGGTAGCAGAGCTAGGGTTATAATACTTTTTGATCCCCTGTGGAAGGAAACACAGGTGGTGAATTTCATTGTTAATATGTAAGAATCAGTAGCTGACACAAACTTCTTTTTTAAAAATATATTTTTGTTGATTTCAGAGAGGAAGGGAGAGGGGGAGAGAGAAACATCAGTGATGAGAGAGAATCATTGATTGGCTGCCTCCTGCAAGCCCCACAATGGGGATCGAGCCCACAACCTGGGCATGTGCCCTGACTGGGAATGGAACCTGATCTCCTGGTTCGTAAGTGGATGCTCAACCACTGAGCCACACTGGCTGGGCATAAACTTCTAACAGCAGTGAAACAGATGAATAAGAGCTAACATCCACGGAGCTTTCTTTTGAGGCAATGTCAACATTGAATTTTACACTATTTGCTGGTTATTTCTCTGGTCAAACCTGTGAGACCCAATCATTCTAGGAGAAAGTGAAGTCGGAGAGTGACAGATATCTCAGACTTGAGCTGTGTGAGCCTCCAATCTGGATGGTTTGTAATTAGAGTAAAAATTTTGGTTTTTCTTCTGTGTTAGCCCACGTCATAGAGACACTGGCCCAGAGAATAGTCAGTCCATTCCAGACACCATAATACTCCTGACTGACGCCCAGCAGTGAAGTAATTCACATGCGCTATTGGGATGATTGACAGAAGCCCATCAACTGTCCTATCGGAGGTCTTAGACAGTCATATGTTTTAAAAATAATCTGTAGGCGTTACAAAAACAGACACAGGGCCTGCCTTCGTTAAACATCGGTGACAACTTTAAGCATGATCGTATATTTAATATCCTTTCTGCATTATTATTACAGGCTACAATGTCAAATAAGGACAAAACCAGGACTTTTGCTGTAAAAGCACAGAATGGCACCAGATGAGTAAACTGTCATATCCGGTATGGCTCACTGAATAGGTAGTAAACATAGCATCGGTCTAGATATCGGGAGACCAGAATTCTTGGCTACACTCTGCCTGTGGGACCCCCGTCACTTATCAGTGGTGGGCTTCAGTTTCCTGAATTGCCAAATGGGGGTGCTGGGTTGGTAACCCCCAAAGCCCTTTTCCAGCCCCTGGGGCCTCATGACACACATTTGCAAAGGCTTTGAAGAATTCTTACCTTAAGTGCTCAGACTTCCTTACGCATTTCTGAAGGAGAGAATAAATTGAAGCGAGACTTGGGCCTAAGTTGATGGTGAGAAGAGGAAATAGGTTTTTTTTTCTCCTGTAAGAATTGTCGCAGGTCTATAATGGGGTCGTGACAAAGTAGACAAATCACTCTGCAGAATGGGGACGGGTGAATGAAACAGCTGGGATGCCGGGGAGGTTTTCTGTTACATGTAAGTAGTTGTTCAGGTGGCTTGAAGTCGTCTGTGGGATGCTGCACAGCCCACACCATAGTCCTGGGGGAGGTGGGAAGAGGTTGGAGGGCAGGAGTGCTTGCCTTACAATCTCTTGTCTCTTTTTGCACCAGAATTAGTTTGGTAGGAGCACGTGGCTGCTGGTAATTCCCTGGGGCCCCAGGAAAGTCCCTTCAATCTCTCTGAGCCCCACTTTCTTGATCTGTACAGCGAAGCCTTTAAATTTAGTCATCTGTAGGTTTCTTTACCTCCCTGAAAATTCGATGACATTTTCAGATTGTTTACCGGTACACATTGCTCCTCTCCAGTCACTAAAATACTGCCTGTCTCTACTCATGGGACCCAACAGACTGCAAATCCAAACATTCCTAATTGACCTCAGCAAGACATAAACAAAAATGCCAGCCTTACCTTTGATTTTGACCACGGTTTGCTTGTTATGATTTCGCATTTCACCTTTGAATGTTGAGTTAGTTATCTCAGCAAAATCTCCATTCCAGTGAAACTTCCATTTAAATGCTTGTGTTGTAATAATCACTTAGTGAATCAGAATTAAATATATAATGCTCACCAATGAACTATAGCTGACTGCAGGGTGCATTTTTGGCACATTGAAAAGGTAATGCCTGCCCTAGCCGATTTGGCTCACTGGATAAAGCGTCGCCCTGTGGACCGAAGGGTCCCAGATTCGATTCTGGTCAAGGACACATGCCCAGGTTTCAGCTTGATTCCCAGTGCTGGGGGGGGGGGGGGGGGGGGGGGCGCGTGGGGGGGCAATGATTCTCTCTCATCATTGATGTTTCTCTCCCTCCTCCTTACTCTCTGAAAATAATAAAAATGTATTTAAAAGAATAAAAAAATGCAAACTTGAGGTGGAGGCAGAGGTATGTTTACTAGTAGTGAGGAAAAAATCTAACAAAAAAAAAAAGAAAGAAAAGGTAATGATGCCCCTTTAGTCCCAGAAGCAATGGCTATAATTTAAAATAATATTCACAGATTTTGTCAATTTTTGTGAATACAAGCAAGGCTGAGAGAGCCATATTGTAATTCATTTTGCTCAGGAGTGAGAAAATAATTCAGGGAAAACCCAAATTGTTTGGCTTTAGTGGACAGTTGGAAAAAAGAAGGGTTATAGGTTTTGTACAACATAGAAAAGAGATCATTATATCCATTGAAACACAAGAGTATATTCTGGTTGCTGGTTTTATGGTAAAGACTAGAATAGAAAGATGCCAAAATATGGACACACAGGAAATTGTTACAAAGATAGCCGTCCATTTGAATAATACAGAAATATTTTATCATACTGGGACTATTTGTCCAGTGTAGTCTTCTGTCCTTCCATTCAGAAAAGGGGGCCGTTTTTCAAGGCCTCAATCATAACAGGAAATGTGCATTTTGACTAGTGGAGCGATTCATTGAAATGTTTAATTTGATCATCTGGTTTTGTGAATCTGAAGTTTCACTTTAGGTTTAATTGAACCTCCTGCGTATCAGTGTCTGTGGTCTTTGTGAGAAGTAATTTTACCCATTTTTTAAAAAAGTGGATGAAATTTGCTAACTGGTGATTCTCGCATATCGTATTAATAGTGTATCTTGCAACAATTTGTGAACTGGCCACACTAAGACAGACCATAGTAATATCTTTCCTGGTAAATCATTTCCATGGTGTGACCTCTCAATGCCGGGGTTGGGGTGGGGAGGTTAAGTATTTAGTTTACTTAAAACTGTCCAAGTGCTTTTCCTAAATGCCATAAAATTATATGATTATAAACCAAATAGAAATATCCTCTCTTTTTTTTACTCAGTTGTGAGAGCACTGTATAGACCATTTTGGGAACTGCCCCATAAAATGGTATAATTTTTGTTTAAAAGTTCCTCTCTCTATATATATACAAGGGAAAGCAAACACGTGTGTAATTTCATGTAATATGTTTCATGTAATAATTCATTTTTGAAATCTTATACAGATAGTAATTATGTAGACGTCAGAATAATAAATACACCTCAATTTTTTCATAGAGATGTCTAATATTTATTATCTCAAACTTTGCAAAGATCACTTAACCTATTTTACTTAATCTTTAAAGTATCTATATGAAGTAATAAGACCATCTGGAGCTTAGAGATTAAACAACCAAGGTTTTCAGAAAGATCAAGTGACTTGTCCAAGATTTTATGGCCAGCAAATGGCTCTGAATCCCGTGTTCTTTACACTGTTCACCTTTTGTCATTTTTTCCCTCTATCACTGCCATTTTCTTTAAAACTTTGACCTAAGTTTAATTCTATCTGAGACATTGGGAAGTTTCAGGCTTTATCTCCAAGCCAATGTAGCTGTTAATGTCAGAGCTTTTTAGAAACTTCCAAAAGTATCCTTCCACAGGGAGGATAGTAGCCAAGCATTTTCCACCGAAAACATATTAAGTCCACACCCCCTGGCCACAGACACTCAACCCAGATGATGTCAGAATGCCAGACTGAAAAAAATCATCTCCTTCACTCATCTTCTAACTTCCTTGTTTAAAAATCCATCTGAATGACTGATCGCTGAACAGTTGAAAGAAGCAATAATCAACAGACAAGATTTTGTATGGGATGGAATAAGGACCTTCCTTGAACAATGACATCATAACCAATATTGGAATTCTGGATGAAATGTAAAATCAAACACATTTTATATTTGTTTCTATATCATCTTCTTTTGACATTGAAGTTCTTAGTGTATCACGTATTAATGCAAAGTTAAAATAAGCTCTTATCCCATGTTCTTTCATGTTCTTGTCATCATAACTTGGGGCCTTCTGTTAAGTAAATGTCAGTAAAAACCTGTGAGTTGCTTATGTGATGTTTATATCTGATCCATTTTTCAAATTTGCCATTGAGTTTACAGTGTTTTCCTTGCAAATGTTATG